CAAAATTAAAAAAAAAAAAAAAATCAACAAAAACGAGGCCCAGAAAAAAGACCAAGTCTGGGGGAGGAAGAGTTACTCTGCTCTTTAAAGCTCCCAAGTCTGGAGTTGGTCGGTGGTGCAGTTCCAAGAGAGGCCAAAGGCGAGCACCAAGGGGGTATTCAGCTGTCGCTTTCAGGCCCCCCAGGAGTGTCTGTGGTCGGGCTCAGGGAGCTGGCTTCAGCTGCTGTTCCGCAGGTCCTCAGTTTACCAAGGACTCATTTGCGTCCCCATTTGAAGGGTTTGTTCAGGTTTACTTCCGTATTTGTGTTTTTGTACATGTGAGTGCATGTCCACATCTGTCTATGTTTGTGCAGGTGGGTCTGCTGTAGGGTGTGGGTGAGTGCGTTCACATATATGTCTGTGTGTGTGTCTGTGTGTGTCTATGTGTCTGCGTGTGCATGTCTTCATGGATCTGGGAGGGGAGGAGTTGGGAGATAGGCTGTGCTCTGGGCTGGAGCTATACCCGGGTAGTGGAGTGTGAGTGGGGCAGCCCGGTGCTGTTGAACCCTGCGGCAAAGGTGTTATAGGGGTGCAATGTCTGCAGCCCTACCAGGGAGTTGGGAATCATAGTGATGGTGTTAGGAGTCATGAGTGGAATGTCATCAGGGGAGCGCCGCAGGGTTAGGGTGTAGTCGGGCAGCGCTGTGAGGCGCAGTGTGTCATGGGGGGGACCGGCCTCACACTCATGGTGGGTGGGGCCCAGCTGTAATGCTGCCAGCTCCTCCTCAGGAGCAGCTCCCAATTCAGGGGCTCCGGCTCCCCTCTGAGGGCTAGGCTGCCGCAGGGGCTCCTGGCGCCGTTTGTCCTTACGGTAGTAGAGGGCAGCAAAGGCCAGAACATTAAGGAACAGGAGGGAGGCCCCCACAGCGATGGTGACACTTAATTCAGTGGAGTAGTCACGAGGGTTCTCCACCAGGAGTGGCCCTGCGTCCTGGTCCCCATTCCAGGACCCCTGGGCGTTCTCGTTGCTGTAGGCAGGTGAGATGGCTGGCCGCTTGGTGCTCCAGGTCTTGCCGTTGGGCCTGCGGGTGATGTGGGAGCTGTGGGTGGTATCCGGGGGCGGCACTTTGGTGGTCGTGGATGTATAGTGGAACATGTCATGCAGGTTGTATAGGTGGGGCACCAGGTGTTTCCAAAAGGCCACCTTAGTGGCCCGGTAATGATCTCGGACCCTTGGCTTCAGTCCGATGTGAAGGTAGAGCTGGTCTCGGGGGTTGTATTTGGACCAGGCCACTTCCTCAAAGCGATTGGCCTTGGTGTGAATGAACTTGGTGTCCTGGGGGACCGGCTTGTTGGGATCCCTGAAATACCACATGGAAATCTGAGGTCACCACTCTACCTGAATACGGAAAGCACCCAACATGCTTCCTCTCACAACCACCCCTGAACCTCTTCTGCAGTCCAACAATTCCCAGTGTTTCCGTCTTTTTCAGCGTCCCTCCCTCTGCCCACACTCCCTTCTTCCCCAGGTGGGCATCATGGAAACCATTTTCATCCCTCTTCGTACTCATCCTCTAAGATCAGGGCATAGGCACTTTTCCTTCTCATATGCTACTGAGCATCTGTCGATCTTTTCAGCTGTCTAGTTTGGCCAAGAGCCCTCTAAAATCTCTTTCTGGATGTATTTTATTCCTATTTCACATGGCCTTTGAAGAGCTAACCTTACATCCCATAGTTCTGCCAGTAACTCTCACTCCTGTTCAGTCCTTATGCTGACCAAATTTTGAGCCTTGATCAAATTTTCAAAGGAAAGAGAGTGGCACAAAAGACCAAATAAGGGAAGGAGAGAAAGGGTTACCAAGAAAGATTTTGGGGTTATCTTTTTTTTTTTTTTTTAAAAAGGTTTATGCCTTAGGGCACATGCGCTTGCTGAGGAGAGAGAGAGAGAGACAGAGACAGAGGGAAAGTGAGAACTCCCCCCGCCCCCCCGGAGGAATGGCCATGCTGCAATCCCTTCTCCTCCATTCTCCTCCTGGGATCTCGGGCATTCACGCACACGTGCCCAGCATGATTTTCAGGCCACTGGGTCCCGGACTTGAACCGTGGTCTGCCATGTGGGAGTCCAGTGATGTAACCGCTATGCCATCTGCTGGCCCCTTGGGAATATCTTAGGAAGGGAGTTGATGGAAGAGGTTTAGAGTAATGGGGGGCCACGCTGAGGTCCCAAAGAACCCCTCTGATGTTTTCCTTACCCGGTCTTGGCAAAGTTGGTCCAATAGGTCATGACGACAGCACTGAGCATGACATCATTCTTGGAGAAGTTGCAGGGGAATAGGTCAGTGGGGCCTACCATAGGGACACCAAAAACGTAGGGTACTTCATCCCCATGAGCTGCATCTGACCAGGCAGGTTTCATGAGGCTCTGGCAGTGATGGTAGAAGGCGTAGAAGTAGGTAGGTGAGCCATAGCGGGCGTGCAGATCGGCTGTCACCACCGAGGGCTCCACCCACTGGTGGTCAGTGAAGAGTGCCACCAGTGTTTTACGGCGGGTCTCAGGGTTGTCACGGTCTGCCCAGTCTGTGTACATAAACTTGATGGTCTCCCGCAGGGTGTCCTTACCCTCAGGATAGCCATACAGATTGTCCACAAAGTTGGAAACGGAATAGTCAAAGTCAGTGCCAGAGACACCATCCTCAGGGTCCACCACCCCTTCCACAAACTTGAGACCCTCACCCTGGTTCACACCTAGCATGATGTCATAGTTGAGAAACTCGCCCTGTTCCATGAGGATCTCAGGATCATCAGGAATGACATCGCCATCAATCACAGGACCAAAGGCCACATGGTAGCGGGCTGGCTGGATGTCCTGCTCTACCAGCTCCTTGGCGCTCTTTTGCCGAAGACAGTCCACCATGTCCACAGTGTCTAGCACGTTACAACCCACTTTGTCTGCCAGTAGGCTGGTGTATTTCACGGGCTGGTAGTTCACAGCCCAGCTGGACAGAGCAGAACCACTTTGGATGATGGCCCTCTGGAAAAGCCCTAGAGAAGATAGGCAGCACCAAGTCAGATCTGTTGTGCCACACGCAATCATAAAACACCTCATTCCTTAATCACCGAGGCTGGGAAGGAGGAGCGACTTGTGCCAGGGCATGATGAGCCCCTGCTCTGGCTGATCCCCAGCCTGGTTCCTCCATTGCTACCCTGTCCTGGTAGGAGGGTTGGTGACTTGGGGGTTAAGGAAATGTCAGGAAGAATTAACCCTTTGGGTCCCAGACATCAGCCTCCTTATGCTCCTTCTCTTTATCTCTCCTTGTCTTCCCCTCTTGCTTCCTGCCCAGCTGGGCCCAGCTCTGTGCCAGCACACCACCAGGGAGCTGGCACTTACACCACAAAGGGGTCTTTTTCATGAGAGATGAGAAATGCAAGCAGGAGAGAGCCCCACATTCTGGGAGTTTGGGGAAGGATCCTGAGGGCAAAGGCCTTGGGGTCTGAGAGTCTCCAGGGAACGTGCCCTTCCAGTCTGTAGTCTCCACAGAGATTATCCATTTCCTGAAGCTACTGGTGCTTCAAATCCAGGTTTTCCCCTAGCTGAGAGAGAGCCAACTCCCCCAAATTCAAAAAGATGATTCTTTCCCCTCTAGGAAAAGAATGGTATAATTCTCTTCCTGGCCCCAACATTCCCAAGGGAGAATTTGGCCACACACACACATGCACACGCGTGCACGCACGCACACACACACACACACACACACACACTTCCATTTCTCTAAGAGAAAGGCAGTTTCCCTGGGCAGAAAGAGAGGGAGGGAATATAGATTACTACTGAAGAGAGAGCCATGCTTTTCCAAAGATTATTCTCCATGACTCAATTATAGAAAGACAGAGAGAACGCATCTTTAAAGAAGCCAGGCCTCCAGAGACACAAAAAAAACCTCACTCCAGGAAGGGCTTCCTCCTGGAGTCCCCAGTCAGAGGAAGGGCTGGTCCACCTTTCAGACAGAGGTACCCTCACAGTCAGCCACTTCACCCTCTTTGGAGGAAAAAGGAGAGATTCCTGTTCCCACTGCTATCACCTAGAAACACGTTCTCCTTAAAGATGCAGATCCCATTTTAGTCTTCCCTCATCAGAGTAGTCCCTGGAGGGGCAGGGACAGAATTTCTGTATCCGAGAAGGTGATTCTTCTCTCTCTAAGAGACAGCCTTCTTACAAGAGAAAACTGAAAGTCTTCTGGTGGGAATATCACTAACTCATAGGCGGTTGATTTCAACAACAACAACAAAAATATGTCCTCTGTCACAGATTTCCTTACTTCAGAGAAAGGCACTTATTTCAGGAAGATCTTTTCTTCACGACATGCGCAGCTTTGCCTCTCAGAGACAGAATGTTCTCTACAGTTTAGAAGTGAAGAGAACAGTTCCTGTTGAGCAAAAAAAAGGGCCAATTGGGGCCCTCCGAAGGGTCACTGACAGAGGGACCCATAGCCAGGGGAGAGGCTCCAAATGCAAGTCTCCTCTGGGTGAGTTGGGCAGCCTGGAGGAGGTCTGGGGCCCAAACACAGGCCATCATTCCTCAGAAGGAGTCCACCTCGAAGGGTACTGATTCTCACTTCAGACTCCCCTTCCTCTCAGGAACATTTCCCCTCTTGTACAGATTTGTTCTTCAGAGAGGAAGGTATAGAATGAGTGTTTCTTATGTCTAGAAACTAATTTATACCCTCAATCTCTATCCTGAAATAAAGTTTCTTTCCCATACTAAGAGAGTTCTCCTATCCAAAAAAAAAAAAAACAAAAACAAACCACTATTGTCCCTTCCAAAAGAGACACTCTACTCCCTCTCTCCCAAATAAGAACCCCATCAGAAGGAGACTCTTCTTTTTATAAGAGGTAAATGGGATTCTCTCCTCCCCTTGCTCACATTGGAAGAAGTGCTTCTTCTCCCTAGAGAAACATTTCCCTTCTACTTCTCCCTAAAGAGATACTGAGCTGGTGAAAGATGGTTGGTTGATTCCCCTGGCACTCCTGGGGCATGGAGCTAGGCATTCCAGAACCTGGATGGCCTGGGACTCAAGGTGGGAAGCCAGCACTTATCTAGTTCATGTTTTTCCCCAAGAGCTACTCACCCTCAGAATGATGTGACAGTGTGAGGAGGCTGACACAGGATGCACCGATGCCTGAGCCAAAGACGGTAATACGGCGGGGATCACCTCCAAAGAAGGCGATATTCTCGCTCACCCAGCGGAGGGCCTGGATTTGGTCAAGGAGCCCATAGTTGCCCTTGGCAGCCTGATCTCCAGTGCTCAGGAAACCTGGATTCAACAAAGGGCATGAGGACAGTGAAGGCAGAGGGATGGAGGCTTTAGGTTATGGTGACAGGCAGAAGTTGGGGGAGGTGAGGGCCGAGGATGAGCATGCAATGTAGTTCTTTCTATCTAGCTAACATAAACTGTCACTCCTTTCCACAAGGTCCAGTGTCATCAATGTAGGAAGGGTTGGCTCCCTGCCTCCCATCCACTGCCCACTTTTGCAGGAGGGGTCTCCAGACCACTTGAAGTGAATGCCTCCAGGTGGGAGGCTTAGACTGCAGAAACTGCAAATGGCCAGAACTCAGCATCTTCTACCGTGTTGAGCCATCCCATGACATTACTGTAACATCTGGCAAGATACAGTGGAAAGATCAGGGGTCTTGGAGTCAGAGAGTCCTTGGTTTGAATCCAGGCTCTATCATACCCTAGCCTTGGGCAAGTTATTTTAAATTGCTGGGCCATAGTTTTCTCTCCTATAAAAAATGGGGGATAAAAGCACCTCATAGGATTCTAATGAGGATAAAATGAGCATAAGCATCTAAAAAAATAGTCAGCACATTATAAATCTACAGTTACTTCTCTTTCTTAATTTTTTTTAAAAACGATAGAGCACACACACATATGTGAGAGAGAGAAAGAAAAAGAAAGAAGCACCCTTGACAAGGTCTAGTCATGATCCCCATTCCCAATCCTTCATCTCCTCAGGATCCTGTGTGCCTGTGTGTGGTGTTTTTGAGCCAACCTGAGGATCCAAATCCATAGTAGGCATGTGGCTTCCAGCCTTGCAGGGCAATGCATTATGGCTATGCTACAGTGGCTGGGCTTCTTTCCCCATTTTTCTCTCTCCAAAGGAAGTGAAGATCCCAAGAGGCAATGATCTCTAAGCTTTCTTTGCCATTCCTATACAAATGAGTCCATTCCACTTCTTTCCAGGGCCTCAGATGGCCCTATTCCCCTCATTCTCAGAGCAGGTCCTATTTCCCTTCCTCTAGGACCGACTGAATCAGAAACTCTGCTCAGCAATCGGCATTTTTAAAGCCCTCCAGGTGAGGCTGATGCCTGGTAAAGTTGAGCAACCACCATGTTAGACCATCTTTTTCATCTGGTGGAGAAATGAGGAAGTCAGTGCAGTGTGTTACCACAGAAACAGGTCTTCCCGCCCACCCATTGGGATTTGCTGATGAGGAGACATGTCACCATGGAGACTACCTTCCCACCCACCTGCTGGGATTTGCTGCTGTGGAGACTTGTTGCCATGGAGACTACCTTCCCGCCCACCTGCTGGCTATCCCACAGAGATGTCCTATATTCCCCCCACCCTGCTTCCATTTTAGACTGATCCTGCGGCCTTCTTTCATCTCTCTTCCCTGATCCTCAGGTCTCTTGGAAGACTTTATCTTCTGTCTTAGGCTTTTGGAAGGATTCTTTCCAGGTGGGTCATCGTAGTGCATTGGAAACCCATACTTGGATCAGTATTTTTTTTTAATTATTCATTTAATTTTATTTATTATTGTTATTATTTTGTTTTAATTTGCTATAAGGCATGTGTGCTCACCAGAGAGAGTCAGAGACAGAGAAAAGGAAAAAGGGAGAAAGGAAGCTGCCAGATCTGGGACTTAAACTGTTGTCGACCATGTGGGAGTCCAACACCTTAACCACCATGCCACCTGCTGGCCCCAGATCAGTATTTTTTGACGCCACACTTGAGAGCTCATTCACAGCACCTGGAATCAACTTTGTGTGAGGCCGTGTTTCAGGTAGCTTCCACAGCTCAGAGAGCTCTTTGGTTATCTTGGCAGTTCACAGGCAGAGGGTGAATTCAGACAGACTCAAGCAGGCACAAGACCTCATCTCTGTCTTTCTCCAGTCCCTCTGTACCTATCTTCTGCAAAAAAAGCTCATTTTGCCCTCTTCAAGTGTGTTATTAATTTACCTTCGGTACAATTAAGTGTGTAAAGTCCTTACCTATTCCTCCCAGGACTTAATCACAAGTCCTCTCTAGCCCCAGGTTCCGGGTGAGGAAACGAGAAGGAATTAGAAAAGTCCTGAATGAAGATGAATGAAGGAGCCCTTCTTTGTCCTGACAAAGGCGCCTGCTTGCTTCTCTTTTGCCTGACCGAGTTAGAAACTGAAGCTCTTCCTTCAAGTCAAAAAACAATGCTGACCAAGATCCAACCCAGCTGCCCAGACCTTGAAACCTTCTAGCAAAAATCACTATACGCAAGGCCAGCAGGTGGTGGTTAAGGTGCTGGATTCCCACATGGCCAAACATACTTTGAGTCCTGAACCTGGCAGCTAATCACACCAGGTGCGTGTGAACATGTGACTAAAATCCCAGGAGGAGAATGGAGAAGAGATTGTAGGCATGGCCATGTCTCAGAAATCATCCCTGAGGGGTGATTTCTCACTTTCCTTTTCCTTATCGCTCTCTCTGTCTCTCTCTGGAGAGCACACACACCCTATAGCAAAAACCTAAAAAACAAAACAAAACTGTATGCTGCTGCTGCTTTTTCTTTTTTTTTTGGAGAGATTTTTGCTATAGGGCAAGTGTGCTTGCTGTAGAGACAAAGACAGAGAGATAGAAAGTGAGAAATCACCCCCCAGGGAGGATGGCCACGCCGCAATCCCTTCTCCTCCATTCTCCTCTCAGGATTTTAGGCATGCACGCGCATGCGGTCAGCGTGAGTTTCAAGCTGCCAGATCTGGGACTTGAACCATGGTCAGCCATGGGGGAGTCCAGCAGCATAACCATTACACTATCTGCTGGTCCCTATATATGCTTCTTCTTAGTCTTCCCTCATTCCTCTCTACTTTATGCTTATCCTCTTTTCTCTCATTGTTTTTTAAATTCAGGAGAGTGTGTGCTTACATGGCGGTGGGTAGGGGGAAGACAGGCACCCCAGAAAGGGTCTTGTCATGCCACCATCCCCTTCCCACAGACCTCCAGCCTGTCAAGATCTTGGGTGCACGTGTACCAGGTGTGTTTTCAGGCCGACAGGATCTGAACCTGTGGTTGGCCATGTGTCTTCTAGTATTGTGGTTCAGTGTGCAACCAACTGTGCCACCAAGGCTGGGCCCTTTTCTCTCATTTGGGCAATAGCATACTTGGCATCCACCTTCGCCAAGGCATCATTCAGTGAATTGTGTCAAATATGTCTGTCCTGATCAGCAAGAAAAGCCTGCATTTGGATGTAGTCGAGTAGATGTCGCCAAAGTGTACCCATTTCCTGGGTTAGGAACAAAGACCTGAAGGGGCTGGGGGGAGGATTTGACCATCACTTCCTGCTCCCTCAGATCCCATGAGCCTCCAGATGATGGGCACTGAAGCATGTGGAAGATGCCGTGTCAACGACCCCTACTACAAGCAAGGTCCTACTTGAAAAACTATATCCAACAGGCTCAGGCAAACATGACTGACCACAAGCACACAAAACCTGGCAGTCTGGGAGAGCAGTCACTCACTGCGAGTTCCCTAGTAACTCCGTCATCCACAGAAACCACGTGAGAATAGAGGCTGAGATGCCAAACTTCATAAACTGTCAGAATAAATCTGAGCCAGTCTCCTTGGACCCAAGTTTATACTGCAGTACATGGTAAGCTGCTTGTCAACAGAAGACGGGGAATCTGGCAGGTTGTATCAAAACCAGATATTTGTGTCACTCAAGGCTTGACGTTCACCAGATTTTCAGTTTGCCCAGAGGGTACCTGAATAAGTCGTGGGATTAAATTCTAGACTCCCCTGAATCCAATTTGGCAAGTCCCCACTTCCTCAGCCCCAGGGATATCCATATCCTATAGCCTGCTGGAGTCCCTTTTTTTGTTGGCCCCAAGCCCAGCGGGGGCTTCTCGAACAATAGCTATCTCTCTGCCTGGAATTAGCTAGTGATGTTTTCAAACACGTGAATCATCCAAGATGTCTAGAGAAGCATCTTAGAGTGACGTGTCTGTTTGGGCTCAGCGCTCAGGAGAAGCCAATAGGAAGGAGGGTGAATGAATGCATGTAATTGGGGTTCAAATCTGGCCACTTGTTCTGAGATGCTTTGGGAAACACAGCAACAAAGCCTCAGCTACACAGCAAAATCCGCAAGTGTCAGGGACAAACCCATGTTACTATATCTGGTGCCAAGAGACAAAAACATCTTGTATGTGCCCAGAATCCAATCAGTGGCTCATTGATTATATTTGCGTTCCAGAACAGGAACTGAAGGGTACACAGGAAGGGGTGGGGAACTTCTGTCCAAATCTGTTTCTGACCTCTTTTAAATTTGGGGGAATATGAGGAGTCTTTATAACGTTCACAGAAAATGCATATTTTGAAAAAACAAAACAAAAAAAACTATGTGTGGATTTCAAACATTTTTTGCACCAAAATAAACTCGTACTGTAATTCCATTTTCTACAAACTTTTTGAAGTTCTCTTACACTATTTTGAGCCACTGCTTAACCCCAAAGAATACTACTCCTGGCCCCAAGATGTGATGTTCGAGGGTTCTTAACCTGTTTCATGGATGAACTTCAGGGGCTTCCAAAAATTGTTTGTATAAGCTTGTGTGTGTGTGTGTCTGTGTGTGTGTGTGCGCGTGTGCCCATGCACAGATACTTACACAAACATTATTCTGAGAGACAGTACATACCTTTCATCAGACTCTCATAAGGGTCTAAGACACCCCCCCCAAAAAAATATAAAAGGTTAAGAACTTCTGGTATGGAAGCTTAAGGATTCGAGCAGCTGAGGGGTGTGAAGTCATCACATCAGGGTGGGCCTACGGAGTGCTCACCAGCAGCCTTCTCTGCAGCCCACAGCTCCCAACGGACACTGTGCAGAGTTCGCGTCCTATGTGACATCCCTGTGCTCCTCAAATCCTCAGTCTGTCTCCTCTCTGCCTCCTTTCCCTGTGTCACTTTTGCCTTCTTTTCTCTCCTTAGTCCTCTTCTCTTTCTTCCTTTCTTTCCTCCCACTTCCTCTCTCTCTTTTCTTTCAGTAACATAAAACCAAATAATATGCTTAGTATTCTCTGTACTTTTCAATAAACCTTATAGAATAGAGATTTAGGTTTATAATTCTTTTTTTCTTTTTCTTTTTTTCTGCCGTAGGGTACATGTGCTTGCCAGAGAAAGACAGAGAGAGGGAAAGTGACAAATCACCTCCCAGGAGGATGGGGGGATTGGCCATACTGCAATCCTTTCTCCATTCTCTTCTCTGGATTTTGGGCATGTGCCTGGTGTGATTTTTTTCAATCCACTGGGTCTGGGACTCAGACCATGGTCGGCCATGTGGGAATCCGACACTTTAACCACCATACCACCTGTTGGTCCCTTGGGTTTATTATTTTTATAACATTTACCATTTAATTGTTTTATTTTATTTTATTATTTTAAAATAATTATTAAATTAAATTATTTCTTTTTAATTTGGCTGCAGAGAGACAGAGAGAGAAGGAAAGTGAGAAAGCAAGCTGAGGCTTGGGACTTGAATCATGGTCGGCCACATGGGAGTCCAGTGGCTTAACTACCGTGCCACCTGCTGTCCCAGGTTTATAATTAAAAAAAATTTTTTTTTGTAGTCCATCAGGTAGTGTGGTAGTTAAGGTGCTAGACTCCCACATGGGTAACCACAGTTGGAGTCCTGGACCCGGCAGCTTGAAAATCATGCTGGATATTTGTGTGTGCATGCCCAGAATCCCGAGAGGAGAGGAGAAGGGACTGTGGTGTGGCCATCACCCCAGGCCATCACTCGCTTTCCCCCTGTCTCTCTCAGGTGAGCACATGAGCCCTATGGCAAAAACTTTTAAAAAATTACTGTAGGGCATGTGCCCTTTGCAGAGGAAAGATAAGAAAAGAGGGAGGTGAGGACTAAGAAATCACCCCCCAGAGGGGATGGTCACACCATAATCCCTTCTCCTTTCTCCTTTTAGGATCGTGAGCACATGTGCCCAGTGTGTTTTTCAAGTCGTTGGGTCCAGGACTCAAATCGCATAGTTGGTCATGTGAGATCCTCCTGCTTTAACCACTAGGCCGTTGACTGTCCTGGGTTTATACATTTTAAAAGCAGTTGAGTAGAATATTTTTTATCACACTAAGAAAAGAAAATAACGTAATGAAATTACTTTTGGCCTTCAACTACCATGTACACGTCCGTGTATCTGTCTGTGATTACGTTTGTGCATTCATTACTCTTGAGGAACTGTGCAGCCCTAGTGTGGGTTTACAGCCACCATCATAGTACCATGAGATTCAGATCCCTCTCCTCAACGGGACAGAACAGGTCACAGGAGCCTTGCCATGATGTCTGCGGCAATGTCGAAAGACAGAAGAGCAGGGGCGGTACCATGAAATCTGAAGCCCATCAGACTGGGGAGAGACCAGGGTGATACCTGCACGCTTCATACTCGATGTGCTAGGCATCACCGAAGGGACACACACTCTGTTTTTCTCAGGGAGTATAATTTATCCAGTCCAAACTCAAAAAAAAAAAAAAAGGTGTCTTTCTATCCCACATAGTATTAAGGGTGAGTCAAAAGGAGAGTGCCATTCTGTGCATACAGCCATACCCAGAAGTGAAATGTAGCACCACGGCCTCTGGGATTGGAACTGGCAAAGCAATACAGTCAAGAGCAAGTTAAACTAAGGTCCTATCCCCCCCAATGGCCGTGGAGTAAGCCAGCACCCAGGCCCACAGACAAACAGCTTTGACCCTCCTCCCACACGCACTGGACCAGTGAGGGCAGGAAGTTGGCTTTCTCAAGCCGTTATGGGCCTATGGAGCCTGGGAGAGAATCTGAAAGGGAGCCAAGGCCCTGTATGATTAAGCACTCTCTGTGAGGCACTTATTTATCTCAAGACCTTGGCCACAGATAAGCATTGCTGGTCACTAAGGCAGGCATGAGATAGAGGGGCAGCCTAAATCACCAAAACAAGCACGTGCATGGCAGAGTATATGGGGGGAAGTGTACATGGTTGTGTATGAGAAAAAATCGCATGGGAAATGAGTGCATAATGAGAACGTATGTGGGAAGGAAGAAGGAGTGGGTACACAGACGGGGTGTGTAAGAATAGGGGATGCATGAGTTTGGGTGGAGGGAGGGTAGAGAGGTATGTGCATGTATGGACACAGATGCAGCAGGAGGTACCCGATGCACGTATATCTGTAGAGTGGGGTGAGGGAACGAGGACGTGTGTGTATTGGGCACACATGAAGGCTGCTGAGGTCTTCAGAAAGTTCACGGAAGATGCTTATCAGGAAAAAAAAACAACTGTATGACTCTAAACATTCTTTGACTCCAAAATAAATCCACACTTGAATTCCATCTTCCACGAGCCCTTTGAAGTCCCCTCGTATATGCAGGCTATGGAAAGTGTATATACACGTATATGTATATGTGTGGGTGGGTATACGTGTAGGGGGTCTACAGGTGTGTGTACAAGTGTGGTGCATGAGGTATGTGTAGAAGGGGAAACAGGTACATGGGGTGTATGTGTGCATGTGTGGTATTTGTGTGTGAGGTGGGGCAGTGTGGAAATACAGGTAAGGGTATAGGCATGTAGGGAGGGAAACTATTGATTTGTGTTTACAACTTCTGGTATGGAAGCTTAAGAGTTCGAGCAGCTGAGGGGTGTGAAGTCATCACATCAGGGTGGGCCTACGGAGTGCTCACCAGCAGCCTTCTCTGCAGCCCACAGCTCCCAACGGACACTGTGCAGAGTTCACGTCCTATGTGACATCCCTGTGCTCCTCAAATCCTCAGTCTGTCTCCTCTCTGCCTCCTTTCCCTGTGTCACTCTCACCTTCTTTTCTTCCCCAGTCCTCTTCTCGTCTGTCCATCCTTCCTTCCTTCCTTCCTTCCTTCCTTCCTTCCTTCCTTTCCCCCATCCTCCTCTCTCTTTTTTCAGTTCTGGCTGGTCTGATAATGTGAAACTAAAGAACACTCTTAGTATGGACAGCATATGTATGTATGTGTGCAGCATGTGGAGGTGTGAAGTGGATGGGGAAGTGGGGTGTGGATGGTAGAGGATAGTGTGAGTGTGGGTATGTGTAGTATGTATAGTGCAGATGTGGCTATGGAGATATGGGGAGAAATACATGAGAGAGAGAAAGAGAGAGAGA